ATTACTTCTCATACATTTTTATTCCGCAGTTCTAGCCAGTTATAATACGTGTCCCATATCTTGTAAAATTCTGTAGCTTCTTTGTCTTTTATTTCAAAGGAAAGTTTGTTCATCTCAGCACAGTCTAATATCTTACATACAATCATTGCATTTGTTGGTACCAACAGATGTAGCCAAAACTTTTATGGAGGTATAATAATGTGTTAGGTAGTATCCTCATATTGAGAAATAGCATAGGACAGAACAGAACCGAACAGAATAGAATAGAATAACAGAGTTGGAAGAGATTTTGTAGGTCATCTAGTCCAAACCCCACCAAGACAGGAGACCCTACCCCATTTCTGATAGATGGCAGTCCAGTCTTTTCTCGAAAGCTTCCAGCGATGAAGCTCCCACAACATCTGAAGGCAACTTCTGTTCCACTGGTTGATTGTTCTCACTGTCAGAAAATTTCTCCTGATTTCTAAGTTGAATTTGTCCTTGATCAGTTTCCATCCATTGTTCCTTGTCTGGCCTTCAAGTGCTTTGGAAAATAAGTTGACCTTTTCCTCTCTGTGACAGCCCCTCAAATATTGGAACACTGCTATCATGTCACCCTGCTTCTTCTTTTCACTAGACTAGCCATGCCCAATTCTTGCAACCATTCTTCGTATGTTTTAGCCTCCAGTCCCCTAATCAGTAGAAATATGCTGACTTGGTAAACTGCTTAGAGCAACCGGTAAAGCACTATGGACTGGTATATAAGTCTAAGTGCTATTGCTAATAATTGGTTGGTAACTCAACTGCAATGAATGATGCAATGGGAGAATTAATTCTTCTCATTCCTTCTGATACTCTTTCAATTTATGGAATTGCAGTGGAAATATACTACTATATATAGGCTTTATAAGAGCCAGTTTGATGTAGTGCTTAAGGCAACAGGCTAGAAACTGGGAAATTGTTCTAGTTTCACTTTAAGCCCAAAGCCAGCTAGGTGACCTTGGGCCAGTCATCCTCTCTCAACCCTAAGAAGAAGGCAATGGCAAATCACTTCTGAAATCTTGCCAAGAAAACTGCAAGAACTTGTCCAGGGAGTTTTTGAGAATGAGACACAAATGAACAGAAGAAAAAAAAAGTATGCTTTTTAGACAAAGCATTTGTGGTTCCTTTGATAAGGGGCTTGATGAGGCAGATCCAAAACTACTTTTCACCAGTCACAATTAACAGAGAGGCAATCAAGTCAAGGTGTACTAAATCTTTTCTCTAGGGATGAAATATACAAAGAGAGTGGTATATTGCATTTGTAGATGCTAGCCGTAATTTTTTCTGAAGGGCCAGTGAGTTACATAAAGGATAACACTTAGGCTAAATTGACCTTGAAATTGACTTCCTTATTTTATGACTTTCTGAAGGGAGATTAGTTTTTTTTCTTTCTTTCATGCAATGTGAAACAATTTACATGGTAATCAACGATAAGAGATTGTTCGATATATTGCTAGAACATTGTCGAACGCCGAAAAGGTGTTTTTGTTCTCGCTTACATTCCTTTCTTAGCCTGAGGGATACATGCCATATATTCTTTTAAGAATCTGAGAGAAGAAGCTTAAATTTACTTTTTCTCTCTCTCACTCTAAAGGCAGATAATGGATGGCGATGTTAATGGCCAAGATCTGGCCCTCAAATGATCCTTTGGCAATCCTGTTTGGAAAAATTATATGTCAGGCTTAAGTCTCTGATAGGACAGATGTAGCGCCCAAAAGCAAAAAATTATTTAGCCAAGATGAATTGAATGAACCACAGCTAATTCACAAAATGTGGCGAAATGTGGCTTCTTCTTCTTCTGTGTCTAGATCAAACTTTAAACTGCCAGAAAGAAGCTACCTTGGCTTTGTTGTTGACCAAAATAAGCCATTATCTGTACATGTTTCTCGTAGTCACCGACATACCAGAAAATCAGCCGGGCTGTGTGTCTCTCCACAGAGGCAAAATGTGGCTGACTTTGGTGGTCATCTCAAATGATCTCTTAGGTTCTTGTTGTGCTGGGGAAGAACTGCAATTAAGGACTAGATTGACTCAGTTGTAGGTCCAAATGTCTAGGCAAAGATCCAGGTCCCCAAAGGTGAGAGCTAATGGAAGATTTGGGGGACAGTAAAAAGTATCTGTGATTGGGCTGGCAGAAGAACCTGAGAAGAATCCAGGTGCTGGGTCAAACCAATGGTAGTCCCACAGGGGACAAACCAACACCATTCAAGATGCTCATAGGCATGGATTCCATGCCTGTCTTCTAATGTTACTGGCCCACAGTTGGTACTTAAGCACTGTTGCCTAATATAACAAGCAACCAAGAAATAACGTATGATATATAATAAAACAAAACAAAATAACTATGAAAGTCAGTTGGCTGATTTGGGGCCAATCACCAGGAGACTGGGAATTCTGCCTTCAGCATGAAAGCTGGCTGGGTGACCTTGGGCCAATCACCAGGAAACTGGGAATTCTAGTCCTGCCTTCAGCATGAAAGCTGGCTGAATGACTTTGGGCCAATTCTTTTCTCTCAGCCCAATCCACCTCATGGGGTGGTTGTGAGAAAAATAGAAGGAGGAAGGAGTATTGGGTATGTTCTTGAGTTACTTATAAGGTTTAAAAAAACAGGATAAATTTATAATAAATTAATAAACGATCATAGCTAATACAGTAGATAGTGGTAGCCCTATCTTTCATGAAGTTGTCCAATGCCCTTTTAAATTTATCCAAATTACTGGCCATTGCCATGCAGGACAAAAAAACTGGGTTGGGTGCCTCTCATTAAACCATTTTTTTCCCTTTTTGCATTTTAAAAAATATTACAGAGCTAATGAGTCACTGGCTGCTTGTAGATCTAGGTGTCTGGTTTTTTTTTCTTCCTCCAGCTCAAGCAGAAAGACTTTTGAAGTAAATGAGGAAAGCATGAAAATTAAATATTTATATTATTTTGAGGTTCCCCCCTTTTTTCTTTTTTAATATTTATAAAGAATACAGACGCTTTGGCATTAAGCTTAAAAATGTACATTTCTCTTTTACATCAGGGTACTCTACTTGGTAGCGTTAGCGTGAATAAAAGCTCTGTTAAGCATTAATTATATACTTTCAGTAATTATCTGTCCTTTGATAGTTGTTATCTTTTTTTGAAAATATATCTTGGTTTTAAATAAACATTATTTAAAAAAAAACGGAAGAAGAAAAAGGGAAGAAAAAAACCCCCCTGTTTGTCATCTCTTAAAGATAAAGTCACTGGCTACCTATAGTAACTCTATAGTTGGTGGGAGGAGATATCTAATTCTTTCTCCCCTTCCCAAAAAATAAACATCCCTCATTTTCATATACTGTGATATAATTGGAGACCTTGAGAAAGACGCTGAGGTCCTACAACAGGGGTGTCAAACTCAATTTCATTGAGGGCTGCATCAGCATTGCAGTTGCCCTCAGGGGGCTGGGTGGATGTGGCCTACTGGGTGGGCGTGGATGGAGTGAGTGTGGCCTACTGGGTGGGTGTGGTCAGCTCTACATCGTTCACGTCAAGGGTGCCTGTGGGGGCCTCGGCAGGAGTGGGACAGATCTGAGGGTCTCTGGCAGAAGGGGTGGGACCGGGGCAAGCACCAAGGCATGGTCCACTGGAGGAGCCTCACTGTTCCTCTCAGGCCATGCAGGGAGGGGGCTTATGGAGCTAAGACTGAATGCGTTTCAACATAGATGGCCACCACAAAATTGTACATTGGCTCCCAGCCGGCCTGGACCAGGGCCAAGGCAGAGGGGGCCGTTCCCTCACTGTTTCCAGGATGGCTTCGCGGGCCAAATGAAACCACTTTGTGGGCTGCATCCAGCCCCTGTGCCTTGTGTTTGACATGTCTGTCCTAGAAAGATTGCAGAGAAGAGCAACAAAGAAGATAAGGGGTTTGGAGGCTAAAGTGTATGAAGAATGAACGGTCCTTGATGCTCTCTGAACTTGATTGTTGTCCTGCATACGTTTCATGGCCGAAACTAGGTAACATCATCACAACGCTGGTGATGTTACCTAGTTTGGCTAATGTAACATTTGTAAGAAAAGAACCAAGCTCAGAGTGCACCAAGGACCCCTCATTTCAACCCCGAGCTACCAATATTCTCCTTTATTGGTACCGTATGATGAATGGTTGAGGAAACTAGGTATGTTCACCCTGACAAAGAGAAGGTTCAGAACTGATATGACCGCCATCTTCCAATACTTGAAGGGCCGTCACAGGGAAGAGGTGGACTGATTTATTCTCCAAAGCAGGACTAGAAGTAACAGGTGGAAGCTTATCAAGGAAAGAGCCCACCTAGAAGTAAGGAGAAGTTTCCTGACAGTGGGCATAATCAATCAATGGAACAGCTTGCCTCCTGGGGTTGTGGGTGCTCCATCAGTGGAGGTTTTCTAAAACAGCCTTGAGCAGGGGGTTGGACTTTTCCCTTCCAGAATAACAGAACTGGAAGGGACTTTGGAGGTCTTCTAGTCCAGCCTCTGCTCAGGCAGGAAACCCTATACCATTTCAAACAAGTGGTTGTCCAATTTCTTCTTAAAAACCTCCAGTAATGGAGCACCCACAACTTCTGGAGGGAAGCCATTCCACTGATTAATTGTTCTCACTGTCAGGAAATTTCTCTTTAGTTCTAGGTTGCTTCTCTCCTTGATTAGTCTCCATCCATTGTTTTTTGTCTTGCCCTCAGGGCCTTTGGAGAATAGCTTGACTCCCCTCTTCTTTATGGCAGCCCCTTAGATGTTGGAACAGTGTCATCGTGTCACCCCAGTCCTTTTTTAAAATTAAACTAGACATACCCAATTCCTGCAACTGTTCCTTTTAGTCTTCAATCCCTTAATCATCTTTGTTCTCTGCACTCTTTCTAGAGTTTCAACATCTTTTTTATATCCATTCCTATGATTTTATGTTTTATGTTCTAAGCGAGCAGCAGAATTGTCAAATTTGTTTCTCATATCCTTCCTCTCTCTCTCTCTCTCTTTATTCCAGAGTCATAAATCTGATGCTTCGGAAGTGACTCCTAACTCCAGGACTGATCCACATGGTTCAGTAAGTTGAAACATTTTGTTGACTGGATTAGACTCTAAATCTGGGTGTTTTTTTTTCACCCTTTGCATTTTCTTTTGGTTTGTGACTTTTTCCTCACCCATCTTTTTTATACGTGAGGGGTCCTTGGTGGTCTCTGAGCTTGGTTGTTTTCTTGCAGAGGTTTCATTACCCAAACTAGGTAGGTTCATCAATTTATATATGGACAGATGGATCTTGCATTGTTGGAGCTAAGTGCATTTGAGAGGCCGAAATGTTCTCAGAAGTCTGAGCTTGTGACATGAGCAGAACGGGGATTTGCTCGCCAAAGGCAGGGGATTGGTTCAGAAGGGGGCCCTGTGTAAGTTCATTAGAGACTTTGAGATATTGGTCTTGTATGTAGAGCAGGGGTTCTCAACCTTGGCAACTTTAAGACTTGTGGACTTCAACTCCCAGAATTCCTCAGCCAGCAAAGCTGGCTGTGGAATTCTGGGAGTTGAAGTCCACAAGTCTTAAAGTTGCCAAGGTTGAGAACCCCTGATGTAGAGCAAGTGTTGGGTGTGTCATATAATGATGAGCTCAAGATGGAGTAAGTGAGTAAGAAAAAGGCTTGTCAGGAATGCTTTTTAGCTTAGGATTAATATATTTGTTAACTTAATTAGATTATGTTTAATATGTTTGATATACCCTGTATTTGGCTCCAGGAAGTGGGGGGTGGGGGGTAGGGGGAGGGTTATTGGGTTTATTTTGTAACTGTTAATAAAACTTTTTAAATAAAAAAAGTAATTAAAAAAGGAATGCTTTTTCTTGGAGCAATGCTCAAACCATGCATGGGATGAGGAGGGAGATTTGAAAACCTAAATAAATAAATAAAGTCAGCCATCAGGTTGGATAGGTGAGAAAACCAAGTATAGGATTAAAATGAAGATTATTCATGAGTTTGCCTTTCTCCTTCCTTCCTTCTTTCCTTTCCTTCCTTCCTTCCTTCCTTCCTTCCTTCCTTCCTTCCTTCCTTCCTTCCTTCCTTCCTTCCTTCCTTCCTTCCTTCCGGTGCACTGGAAGTCAAAAGTATTTCCTTCCTGGTGGTTGGAAAGAGATTTAAGTTAGAAGAAACCATCATTCCAAATCAGACATAGATATTTTATGGACCAGATGATAACGTTTTCTTCACCTAGATTGTTAACATCTACTGAGTCCCAAGTCCTTCTCACATGCATGCAGATTTGTTTGTTTCACAAAGTGGAACAGGTATGTAGAAATACAAAAAAATTATACAAGGGAAATAATATTGGAACTTGTGGGCCTTAGTAGTGTGCACAATGGGGGAGAATCCATCTTGGCCTTTGGCTATACCTGTTAAGGTGAGAGTAATATATGTTTAGTCTGGCAAGATTCTGTCTATTGAGTCTAAGCAAATAAAGGAGTGAACACTGGCTGGAATGTTCTACATCATTCTTGGGCTTAGCTTGACATTGGCCATGCTTCCAGGCATGCCGGGAGTTATAGCTTTGGGAACATGTAAAAAAAACTTCGGTCCCACCTAAAGACGTCATATCCACCATAAAGAGAAGATAAAAAAATTATCTCAAGATTCATTGTCCTTTGTAGAATTTGGAACCTGCCAGATTGCAAATGGAGTAATTTCCAACATTAATGGTGTTGCTAATCTCAATGCTGCATAATAAGTACAACTGATTGGCTGAAATTCAGCATAACGGCCATGAATAAACTTTAGCAATGTCAGCACCTGCGCGCAATTCTGCTGACACTATTCGTCCACAGGCAGGAGATGAAAAACGTTGTCTCTGCTTTGGAAGCTGTGGCTTGGGAGAGGCTGCCTGTGTAGTTATGATTATTTTGGGGTGGGTTGTTTGAATGCTAAAATGGTTATCTTGGCTTTGTCTGATTATACTTTAGAAGATCAATTAAGCACGTGATTACATGTCCAGCGATGCTGGGAAATGCTGACATCTTGTAAATGTAAAAGCAGGGAGAAAAGTTTCCTATGTAAACACAAGCAATGTAAGGAAAACTCAACGGAATTGATAATGCTTGGGATAGAACCTTTACGCTTTGTACAGTACATCTGTTTTGAGAAAGGTAGAAAAACACTGGGGGAAATTCAGTACTTGCTGTATATTTGCTCTAAAGCAGTGTTTCTTAAACCTTGGCAACTTTAAGATGGATGGACATCAACTTCCAGAATTCCCCAACTAGCACCCAGCAGCTCCTCAAAAAAATGGATCACCCTTCCCCAAGGTACATGGATCTAGCAATTAATGAATGGAAAACCTTTCTAGAGCTATCAGACTGCTTTTTCAGAAGACACCCATGCAGTATTCTTTGCCAATTGTCAGAATCCAATTATATTTCATCTCTAGTTATCAACTATAGAAAACCCCATTTCTGCCTTCCCTGGATTCTGCCATATGGTGAAGGGAAGGGGGTGAACAAAGGGGCTTTATGGCCCTCACTTCCTTTGGTACAACTTCAAAAGGGACTGAATGTGGATACCGCCAAAAGGACTAACCATAAGAATGGGGCTATTACCTTTCATGTACTCCTCTCTGAAGTCTCCATCCAGCTGGCAGTAAGGAAAAGGGGGTGGGAGTATAATGCCTGAGACTGTCGCTGGAAGAAGGGGGTGATTGGGTGGGGCTACTGTGGAACCCCTTAAAACCTTGAATGGGAGAGCTTGGACCCCAAGTCCTGTCTAGAACGTCTGCAACCATTTTCTCTTAATAAAGGATGCCTGTTGGAAGAACGATTCCAAGAGTTCTGTCTTCTTAAGATGCAAAGTGGGGTGGTTCCTTACACCAATTCTCAAATAATACATCTCTTCCCCCCTCAGGACACAGCTATAGAGCTTTACATGCCAAAAGAACTACATAGGAATAGTTTTTTTCCCTTATGCCATTACTCTGATGAACACTTAATTCCCCCAGCAATGTCTAAGCATATTTACCCATGTAACATGGCTGTAAATACGATTATCCTTATTATCTTCTTTACTGCCCCTTCTTATTGGTATTATAATGATGATGATGATGATGATGATGATGATGATGATGATGCTTTGCATATACATTGTGAGCTGCTGCACCAGAGACAAATTCCTTGTGTGTCTAATCACACTTGGCCAAATAAAGTTCTATTCTATTCTATTCTATTCTATTCTATTCTATTCTATTCTATTCTATTCTATTCTATTCTATTCTATTCTATTCTATTCCATTCCATTCCATTCCATTGGAGTTGATGTGACCTAGGAAGAGTCAATGTTCTTCCTTAGCAAGTTATTTCTGTTTCAAATTCTTGGTTTGCTGTTGTTTCATACCCAGCATTTATCATATTCAATTGCACTTCCTATAACTCTGATAGCAGCAGAGCAGAACACATAACAAATAACTGCTAAACTGTTTTTTCATCTTAATTGCTGAAGCTGTAATCTGTCTTCCTGAAAATTTGCAACTTCCCTATAGACACATCTACGAGGTATGGGACCTTATTTGATTTCAAAAAGAAACAGGGCTCTCTCTTTCTTGTCAGATGGGATTCCTATTGCAGGGAGATCTTTTTAAAGGGTTAAAAGATCTCCAATTTACAGGAGGGCAATATTCTGCCAAATTAGAAGGCAGTGTGTATTCTCTCTCACACACACACACACAAACACAGAGAGAGAGAGAGAGAGAGAGAGAGAGAGAGAGAGAGAGAGAGAGAGAGAGAGACAGAGACAGAGAGAGAGAAGAGAGAGACAGAGAGACAGAGAGAGACAGAGAGAGACAGAGAGAAGAGAGAGAGAAAGAAAGAGAAAGAGAGAGAGAGAGAGAGAAAGAGAGAGAGGAGAGAGAAGAGGAGAGAAAGAGAGAAGAAAAGAGAAAGATGAGAGAGAGAGAAGCAGAGAGAGAGAGAGAGAAGAGAGAAAGAGAGAGAGAGAGAGAGAGAGAGAGAGAGAGAGAGAGAGAGAGAGAGAGAGAGAGAGAGAGAGAGAGAGAGAGAGAGAACAACTTAATTTTCTGGGCTGAAGTTGGTACCATCCCCAGGGTATCAAATATACACACATGGAATATTATATGGTTACTAGAGTTAAAAGATAAGGCATCAGAGATTACAGGACATAGATGGAACTCATGGATTTTTACAAAGCAACCAAGCAAGATAAAAATAATGTGATTCTCTGTGACTGGGCCCTACTCCATTTTCCATCTGGCTTGCAATGAAATTGTATTTTGTGGTCATTGCTTGATTTGCAATGTGTCCATTATGTTGTAACTCTTTTAGGGGAGATGGTGAATGGTAAACACCCCAACTCTAAAAGGAAGAGTAACAAAATGAATTGGTTTATGCTGGCTTGGATATCATCACATTTGAGAAGTAGCAGTGGTTGGACTGAATGTATATTGATTAAAAATATGGCTTTTTATTGGTTTGAGAGATTATTCTTCATTGGCAGTGTTGGCAGTTCTCATGATGCAGTTGGGTGATGTTTGAACCAATAACTCAGATCAGATGAGGAAACTGTATTCAGGAAAACCAAAGGGTTCCACAGACCATGTTATAGAGTTAGTATGGGAAAACTTTGCCTCCTCCCCCTCCCCCCCTCCTCCTCCTCCTCTTTTGATAAGGCAGTTGAGTATTGTAGAAACAGTCATATTGATAGGCTACAGATCCTTTCTCTTTTGGCTTAGAGATCGTTTTTATAAACAAAAAGGCAAGGAGACTAAACAGCCACCCTCCCAAAAGAACATTCCTATTTATCCTCTGGAACTTTGGTGTTGGACAAGACCCTGGTAAACATCATAGACAGCCAAGAAAATTATTAGGGGGAAAAGTCAACGTCGAGTTTTCACTCGAGGGACAAATGACTTGGCCTAAATTATCCTTGTCATTATCATCAGCCATTCAGTCATGTCTGACTCTTTTTTTTTTTATTAAAAGTTTTACAAATTTAATACAATATAAACCCCTCCCACCCCCTCCCCCCTCCCCCACTTCCCAGAGCTGATTACAGGGTAACAAATAAA